ATGGATGAGGACATTGAGGAAACTAGCAGTACCCAAGGTTATATTTATTTGGCTAGAGGTGATGGAACTCAAGTCAGCTAAGCTCTGATCTGTCCTCCAGTTAAAATTACTCTAAAGAAGAATTTTTATCTATAGCGAAGATGCCTATTTCCTATGAAGAGGGAATGTCTAAAAGTCAAATTGTGGATGGAACCATCACTAATCAGCTGTGTGATTCCTGGCAAGTTACTTAAACAGAGGTTCAACAAAACGAGAGAACAGAATACCTAATCTAAGAGGGTTATTGTGATAATTAAATATTGCAATATTTAAGTTTTTTATTAATAGCTGTTATAAATTTATATAAAATATTGAATGTCAGAACACTAAAAAATGTGAGGTACTATTAAAAATGTAAGGACAATTTAATTATCATCATCATTGTTACTTCAGGTTTGCATTGTCAAGAAGTAGATACTAGGAGCAGAACCAAGCTTCCTGGGAAGGAGAGTGAGGTCAGTCAGCTGGGCTGATAACGCATCTGAGTCTACTAACAGCCAAATGTCCAGTATCAGCACTTGAATGATAAGGTCTGACCCTCTTGTGGTCACTGAATACCCTGGGCAAACTCTGAAGTAACCTACAGAGTCTGAGATCCAGTCTCCACACTTGTCCCAGCTAGGCCCACCTGGAACAGTGCTAGATAAGTAATAGATCCCAAATAAATTGTCATCTATTCCTATATTTGTATCATATTACATTTTAATTATAGAAACTACATAGTCACACTTCAGATAATTTGGAAAAAATGATAAAAAAAAAATTTTAAAGCCACCTACAATCTCTTCACTTTAGCAGAAACTTTACCACACTTTGATGTACTCTGTCCTATATTTTCTGAATGCAGGAAGCCATGAGTTTAATCATAACTATAAAGGCAATTTTACATTTTACTTACTTCCCTCCTTAAAATTATATCATGAGCATTTTCTGTGCTTATGTTTCAATATTAGCATAGGTGTTTAGAATTGGTAAAACATTCTATCCATTCAATAGACAATTGCCAGTCTCCCATTGTTGGATATCTATGTTCCTTCCAGTTTTGAAAAATTACATAATGCTATAATGGACAATTTTATGCAATTAGATTTTCTTAGAGTTAAGATTATTTTATTAGAATAGATTCACAGAAAAATTCCTGACCCAAAGGGAGTCAATATGTTTATGGATCTTGATACAACTTGCGAAATTACCTTCCCATGAATTCAACCAACTTAAAGTCTCCAAAAATTATTAGTGCTCATTTCACCATACCCTCTCCAGCATTGAGAAGTAGACATCTTTATTTTTTGTTAACATCATATGTGAAAAATGGTATCCCATATTGTCATAATTCACATTTCTATTTTAGATAAAGCAGAAAAAAATTTCCCAACTGTTGGTATATTCATTGTTTTTCCACTTTTGTACATTGTCTGTTTAATTCTCTTAAATGCTCAATAAATAATTTTGATGATTCATATAAGGGAGACAATTGGGTCGACAGCAAAAAGAGTACTGATAATGCAAGGTGAATTAAGTGGTTTGGCCTCTGTTTCTTCATCTATAAAACAAGTGGTTTCTACATCTACACTACCATATGTAAAATAGATAGCCAATAGGCATTTACTGTGTGACTCAGGAACTCAAACCAGGTCTCTGTAACAACGCAGAGGGATAGGAAGGGGTGGGAGGTGGGAAGGAAGTTCAAGAGAGAGGGGACATATGTATACCTATGACTGATTTGTGTTGATGTATGGCAGAGACCAACATGATATTGTAAGGCAATTATCCTTCAAATAAAAATTAATAGATTTAATTAAAAAACAAGAAGTTTCCAGAATCAGCAGAAATACACCGTGTGAAATGGTTGGTGAACTCTCAAGTGGTTTAGAAAGACAATGAATGGAACATTAATATTGTTACTCTCAATACTTTGACAGCCTAGAGTTCTAAAATTCACAAAGAGAATGGCTCTAAGAAAAATATGCTGGGTGAAGGAACAAAATCAGGACAATGATGAGATGCTGGAGGATTCCATGTACTAACCAGAAACCTAACAGTTTCCCACCAAGACAGTGATGCAGAATCTATTCTGGCCGTCATTTTCCTGAATAAGCTAGAAGTAATCCTTATTGGGCAAGACTGGGAGTTGACCTAGTACAAAGTTACCTTTGCTTTCAACTAGAATTGCCTGGATAGTAAGTACATATAAATAAAAACTTCTTTCTCCTTAGGGGGGATTCTACTGCTAAGGGGAAGAAAAGATAATTGCCCTCCCAATTGTTGCATATATTCAAAATGCACATTAAATGGTTGTCCCAGTAAGTGAGGCTGTGTGAGAGTGAATATGTGAGACACAACTATATGGCTCTATTGTTGATGGTGGCGGGTTTTGTTCATTTGATTGCAGGTTAGTTGGTTGGTTGTATTCACAATTTTTAAAATAGTTATATTTAAACTGCCAATCAGAAAATGTAAAACATTGTTTAGGGGATGAGTGATAAAATTTTTTTCTTCTCTATTTTTCTGTATTTTTATTAATGAGATGTTATTCCTGTGATATGGAAATGCAAAGAATGTCTTGTGTAAGCAAATCTCTAGGTGATCAATGATAAATGTTTTTTAAATGTTTCCAAAAGCTGCATAGTTGAAATGTGAAAATGGAAGGTGGGGAGAAAAGACAGCTTTACTAGCAGGAAATATCCTGCTCTGTGTTCTCTGACAGATGTCCAAGTGTCAGCCAAAGGCTGGACCTGCAGGGCAGGTAGTGAAGCAAAAACTTCAGCTTGAGTGAAGCCATTACCAGTTCCTGTCAGACATGGGGGTGGGGGTTAGGGAGGAGGGGGGCAGAAAACTCAACGGCTGCAGGGCCTGACAGGTAACATTAAGTGAGCAGGTGAGACACCTTTACTACAACCAGGTAAGAGTAAAAACCACCCAGCTTAGGCTCTCCCCAATCCTTGAGCCTCAGAAACATAGAACAATTGATTGTTACTTAAGCTGCTAAATTTGAGGGAAATTTATTAGGCAGTAATAGATAACTAAATGGTTACTGACCAAATTGTACAGAATCATTCATGATAATAAGTGGTAATAACTAAATCCGTTTTTTAAAAAGTGAGCAGGTGAGGTGGGGACAAAAATATTTCACTTTCCTCTCTACTGTTAAAAAAAAAGAAGAAGATAACATTGGCGACACTGACAAAAAGATGAGTTGGGAACTTCTGGTCCAGTGGTTGGGTGTCCGCTTGCCAATGCAGGGGACGCGGGGTCGATCCCTGGTCTGGGAGTATTCCACATGTCTGCGGGAAACTCAGCCGGTGCACCGCGCCTACAGAGGAGCCTCAGTGCGGCAGAGAAGACCCAGCACAGCCAAAATTATTTAATTAAATAAAAAAGGAGAGATGGGCCTAGGCTGAACTAGATTTCAGCCCTTATTACAGGGTCAGTGTTTTTTCATGGCATGCACCATGACAGCTCCCCTGTTCAAGAGACAGAAATCTCAGATTTCTGTGTGAACCTTTTCAATCTTGAAGACAAACAAGTACTTCAGATTTTTAAAAATTCTGAGAGCCCAGTAAACACTTCTGTGCCGCCATTTGGCCCCCTGGCCACCAGTTTGCTAACCCTAGATCCGTGGCTTTTTTCTCGTGGGTTTGGCTGTTTTCCGGACCAATAACGTAACCTCGGAGCCTCGGTTTACCCGCGTACCCAGGCAGGAACTGGGTCAGATGGTTCCCATGCGGGCTCTGCCTGGGTGTGCTGGCTCGGGCACAGCGCATCCCCGAAGAGTGGGTACGAAGGGTAAGCGTTTGCATCTTTGGATTCGGGGAGAAGTAGTCTCTATGTGTGGTCAGGTGACCCGGGTCTGATCTGCTCAGGCGCGGGCGATTTGGGGGAAGAGAAGCTATAGGAGATGCCCCTGTGGAAATGCAAGTTTCTGCGTTATCCTCCTTCCAGCGTATCCTGGGGGTTAGACAGCCCTTCTCCTGCGCTCACCCGGGGCCAGGACAGAGAGGTGGACCCGAGTCTAGCTCTAGTGACTGTCCTGTTGCGGAAAAGTTGGCTTGGAACCCTCCTCTAGCATTCAGCCATACATGGACTTGGAATCCCGGAGCCCAGTCGCTCCACAGGAGAGAGGAAAGGCGGCGAGCTGCTAGCCCCCGACCTCCGCGAGCTGTTGCCATGGCCACCGGGGACTTTTGATGTGAAGTGCGGTGACCACCCCCAACCCACTTCCCTTCTCCGCTCGCCTTCTGGATGACGTCATGGGCGTCCTCTGCGCTGACTGGCTACCTGTGGGTCGGTCTCGCCTTTAAAGCTGCTGTTCTCCCCCGGCCCCCGCAGCTGCAGCGACGGCGTCGGCACCGAGGGCACCTCGCCGGGACTCTGGATCCGCCTCTCGCCCGAGAGGAGCGGCCACTGCTCCGGACAGCACCGATTACCGGAGAGAGGCAAGTATTCAAGGATGCTTCACGGGCTTTCTTCCTTAAGCTCCAGCTCCCTCCCAAGTCCTCCCCACTTACCCGCACTCCTGCCCCCAGATCTGCAGCTCCTAGGGGAGAAGCCTCCTCCTAGGGAGGAGCCGGCGGCGGGGTAGCGAGGGGATTTCCCCCAGAAAGGAGTGGAGAGCAGCGATCTTTCTTCCAGGCCGTGGCGACCCAAGCCAGGTAAAATCCTCACCAGGATTCCAGGTCCAGTTCTCTGCCTCAGGGCAAGGGCGTGGGGTTGGAGGAACTGCAGAGCGGAACTGAGGTTCCCCAGGATGAGCCTGGGGCTGCTTTGGGGGGCCGAAAGGGGCAGCCGGGCTTGGCATCTGCCGAAGGTGCCGCGGCTGCCGCCAAATTCACGAAGCGGGGCGGGGAAGACGGTAAGGGCGCCTGGAAAGCAGGAAACGGCTCCTAAACCTGGCATCCCAGCGCTCCAAAGGGGGTGCTCGACCCGCTCGGAGCAGTGGGGGCGTTTAGTTCTCGTACCCACTAGCGGGGCGACGCTGAAACCTGGTCTGCCCTCTGTTTGGCTGGGTCCGGCGCCCCATCCGAGATGCGCAGCACCCCCAGACCCCGGAGTGCGCGGTCCACGGCCCCAAACACCCCAAGCCCACCGTGGTCGCCGCCCGGTCTCCCGCGCTCCTCGCTTTTCAGATTCCGGATGCAAGCCGACCTGTTGCATGCAGAAAAGCGGCGGGGTTCCAGGCCTCTCCAACCCCCCTTGCCGGCCTCCGCCCGCCACGAGATCTGAGAGCCAGGAGCCCCCAGGACCTTGCGTGCAGACGCCCAGAGAGCCTAGAGCCGAAAGAGAAAATGTGTAAGTGCTGGGAGGCCACCGGGTAATCATCCCACTGCAAATTGCCGCACTGTGATTGTGGCAAATCATCCCGCTAACCCGGGGAAGGGAAAGGAGAGGAGCAGGGGATTGAGCCGGACAGGGAGTTGGGTCTACTGCAAAAAGCGCATTCGGTGCAGACCAGTCCTAGTCTCGCTTTTTAATCTGGCGGCGAACGAGCGCTGCACTTTAGGTCCCTACCTCGGAGTTAAAACGGGGCGGCCGATGGTCGACACTTCAGCTTCAGCACCAGAGGGTGGACAGCGCCCTGCCGGTCTTCCTCCAAGGGTGGGTTCCCGCCGGTACTCTGCTTCCTAGCCCAGTTCCCCAGATGCCTCGTGAGGGAGGCCAGGAGGCGAGACAGGGTTCACGGAGAAAAGGAGGGGAAGGGTTTCATCTTCCCTATTTTAAGTATCAAATTATTGGAGGGCATTCTATCGTCCCTCCTCTAAAAGCATTTGGAATAACTTGGTGTCAAGCACAGGCAGGATGTCGAAGAGGAAAGATGTGCTCCTGTAAGTGGTGAGCTTAGGCACAAGTGGGACAGCGGTTCTACCGGGGACCCCAGCACTGCTGTCCTGTGGAAGGTCGCCACATCCAAGTCACATTCTTTCTACTGCGAACCCCCCTTCTCTCCCACTATCCCCAAAGTCTCCATAGGCCTTAACGCCGGTAAATGAGAAAAGCGTGGGATGGTGGGAGAAGATATCGAGATATGGAGGCCAAGGTAAAAACCACATTTTATCTGGGCTGCAACAACTTAGTGAAGATGAAATTTGTCCAAATTGCACGTTGAGGTCCGCATTTTTAGCCAAAGGAGCACAGAGTGCCCTTTGTGTTAGGAGGTGAATGACTATTTTGCCAAGAAGGAAAAAACCCACCCAGGGGAAGATGTTATCACAAAAGGGCTAACAGGTGGGGAAGGAAGAGAGGGGGACAGGACGCCCCCCCCCAACTAGAGTGTGGTTGCCAGGCAACCAGCCCCAGCCTCTTGTTTCCGTGGTTACAGTGAGTGGAGGGGCTTTGGCTATTGATTTATTTGTAAGCACCTTTTTTCTTGAAAATATCTGCTTTGGAGCTCCTGCCTTCCCTGGTCTGGATGTGAGTCAAGAACCACTTCTTCAAAATTCCTGGGGGTTAAGAGTAAATCCTGGAAGGCAAATTTTTTTTTTTTTTCTTTTAAATCAAGGTGCTTGGTGAAGCAGCTACCTTTCGGCCACCTCAGTCCTTCTTTTCCTCTCTCCCACCTCCTTCAGAAAGGTAATCCTATCCTACCCTGTCCTTTCTCTGGGGTTTACTGGGGCTTTTATGTTTCACCTATAATTCTTTAGACAGAAGGGCTCATCCCCTGCCACCCCAGTCCTGTGCACTTTGCTTTTTTCCATTTACATGAGAAAGACACATTTAGTCTTCATGAACTGGAGGGAAAGAGGAAACTGTCCAACAGTGTCTCCAGTAGAGAAAGGCCTTTTCCTTGGTTTGGCAGTGATTCCTTCCTCCTTAAACACCCCTCATGCTGGAGAGGGTGAATTCTTGATCACCCCCTTCTTTTCACCTCTTCCCACAGACCACACAGAAGGAACAGGTGGTAAAAATGGGACTTCCTTAGCAAAAGCCATTTGCATCACCAGCATCAGATTCCTCAAAATTCTATTTTCTTTCTCTTCAGGTCTGCCTTCATAATTAGGAAATGAAGCACTTAAAGCTTCTAATCGTCTGAGCTTTTCCATTTCCCTGGATTGACAAACACTGATTCTGCTTTTCACCTATCAGACTAGTCTGCCTGCATTCATTTGCAGTATCGGGTAGAAAATCACTTTACCCATAATTTTTCAAAGGCAGATGTAACATTCTCAGGATGACTTAAGGGGAAATTGCCAGTAAGTTAACAGAACAGCCTAAGCTCTGTGCACTACTTTACTCAGAATACTTCTTAAGACCCATGAACTTTCTTTTTCTACAACAAAACCTTGTTTTAAACTGAGCTATCACTTGACAACAGAGGAATAGAGGAAATCTCTCTTCCAGGCAGTATCTATCATTTTTATCTTTATTGCTCTGCATTACAGACACACATATCTTTACTTTTCACCTTTTCTTTCACTCATTGCTAATGTAAAAAATTTTTTTTTAAAGATCATTATAATTCCAGACTAAGTTGAATGCCAAAATTATCCTCCATGGGCTGGCTAGATATAATTTTGGGGACATTTACATTAAAATGCTTTCCCCTCACACGTTACTATAGAAACTTCTTTTTAGTTCAGACCAGACAGCTGGTCTGCTTTTTGTGCTTTTCTTCCCAAAGAAGTGCCTTCCTTTATGAATTCTCTGGGGCAGCTATCATTGATCACATCAATAAAGTCCCATAGCAACAGTGTTGTTTTTTTTTTTTTTTTAATTATTATTCCCTTTCTGCTCATTTTCTTTATGGACAAAGGGTCTACTTTCAAGAAGAGAACTGAGATCTTACTGGCCAGAAGGGAAGAAGTATTCTTTCATTGGTTGATGTATGTTGCCTTGTCAACCAATCAGAGGATGCCATTTATCCTTTTCTGACTAGCTAAGTGAGCAGGGTACCCAGAATGATTGAATATGCTTTAGAACCATCCAGTAGCAAAGGATGGAACTCGGAGTTCTGAGATCCAGGATGTGCTATTTGCTTTGGCCAATTCAGATTCCTTTGACTTGCAAAGATGAATTTTGCTCCCTAGTTATTTGTAGCTTACTCGAACACATCTGGATTACATATTATTCTTTATTTAAAAAATTTTATTAATTTTATTTTTGGTTGAGCTGGGTCTTCAGCTGCCTGGGCTGGGTCTTGAGCTGGTTTGCTGCCTGGGCTTTCTCTAGTTGTGATGAGCAGAGGCTACTCTCGAGTTGCGTTGTGCAGGTTGCTCATTACGTTGGCTTCTCTTTTTGTGGAGCATGGGATCTAGAGCTCAGGCTTAGTAGTTGTGGTGCTCGGGCTTAGTTGCTCCGCAACATGCGGAATCTTCCTGGACTGGGGATCAAACCCCTGTTCCCTGCATCAGACAGGCAGATTCTTAACCACTGGACCATGAGGAAGTCCTGAATTACACATTATTCTGTGAATTATTTTCATTTTAAAATATATTACAATCATTCTTCCAAGTCCATGCAGATTATAAGTATCAGCACACCAATGGTCCAGGGATCTTTGTGATTTTCCTTAGAAGTATAGAGTTGGTCCTCACCCTAAGGGATTTGCTGACAATCTGGGGAGTTGAGGTTGGGAACCGAGACGAGGAAAGAGTTTTGTTCCTTATGATGAACATATATTTCAGCATTTGGATTCATTCTGTCCAACTTTGATGTCCCTGGTAGTTTTATTTGTTTGTTTTTCTATTTTAATTCTTCACAGCTGTCTTCTGGCCTGCATTTTCAGTGATGAAAAGGTGGATAGATGGAGACAATGACCCTCTAATTGGGTGTAAGAGAAGACATAACTTTTCAGGAAGGCTGTGACAAGTAGGTGGTAGAGATCCCTGGGCCTGGAGATTACCCAAATCTCTCGTGATGTTGGAGTTGGGCAGGTTTTTTTTTTCTTTCTCCCTCTTCCAAATAGTCTTGCTTAGGGATGCTCACATTAGTCTCCACTTCTCAAAAAGGAAGGGCGCGTCAAAGTTCCTTCTCTTCCAAGACAGAAATCATCTGACAACAGCCTGAGAAACCTTAATGTGAGTACCAACCCCACTGGTCAGTCTTTTCTTGTTCTTGGCTGGAGGGGATACTGGGAGTGGACAGAATCTTGACCATGATGGTGCTACCTCATTTTAGCAACCCCATCTATGCCAGAGTCTGACTGGGGCAATGACCAGACTCTAAGCCTTTCAATAACAGGGGCTATGTCATGCATACCTTTGATTCCCTGGGGCTTAGTCACACTTAAAGTAGGGACTCAGCAAGTATCTGAACTAAGTCCTACAAGCTAGTGTCAGGACAAGTCCCACAACTTTGTGTTTGTGACAATGGCAGCTGTAGCCTGCACCCTCCCCCACCCCTCTCCTCCCATATTCCCTAGCTCTCTTCACAAAAAGATAAATGAAGGCTCAGTTAATTGTTTCCATGGTTACATGGAATGGCCACCCTGAGGATCCCTATCACCCCTACTGTCTGAAGGAAAAAGAGAGGAGGGGTTTGGGGATCTTTGTCAAGGAGGAAACCATGGAAACAAGCGTTGCTAAGGGGATGGCTCTAAATTCAGAGGAAAGAAACTGAAAGTGGGGAGAGGGAGTTGATGGGCTCAAGGGCAGGTCAGTTTTTCAAGGTACGTTTCTCTGAGGCTTCAGCAGCCTCTTTCACTTCTTGCATCTTCCCGCCAACCCAGACAGAGCCCAGAGTTTAAAAATTTTAGAAAACTGGGCCACTGTCAGGCTCAAATCCATCTCCATTGGTCCTGCAAGGAAAAAGCCAATGACAGTGGATTCATTGTGTTCACACCTCATGATTATACTCTTATCTCTGAACTCTGCCTCACTGCTGATCAGTTTCTTCTAATATGAGCCAGGCTCTTCCTAGGCTTTGAAAAATAATTATCAGGAAAATAGTCCCTGCTTCCATGGTGAGCTGATAGCAGGACAGTCCATAGGTGGCTTTAGGGCCAGGATTTGCTCACATGGGCTGGACTGGACAGCAGGACATGGCAGTGTCCAGGAGTCTCTCCAAACTCTCTTTGTAATACCTTTTAGCTTATCTATTACTATCTGAAGTTTACCAGAGAGCTTGCTGGGAAAGGCCAGTTTTTCCAGGGAATACCTAGGGCTCTAGCCCCTCCAGTGAACCTTCACCTTGATTAGCCTGGCCCTCTGATATTAGCACTCTTATCTCTGAAACTGTACACCAAGGATGATGAACTAGTTCTCTTTCAACAGTGCCAAAGAGACTTAGGTTTTTTGTTTTTAAACTTTTTGACTGCAGCACTCAGCATGCAGGA